ATATATATATATTTTAACAAACCTTTGGCCAGCAGAATGGAAATACTCTGAAAGGGAAAATGGAAGTTAGAGAGACCATTGAGGGAGTTGTTAGGGGGGTCCAGGTGAGAGATAATGATTAATTTGAGAGACATTCAGGAATTGTAGGTTCTATACATGAATTGGATCTGGGGAATAATGCAAAGATGAAGATACCTTGAAGATTTCACTCAGGCTTTTGGCTTAGTGAATAAGTAATGCCAAAAATGGACATAGGCTATGACAGAAGGAGAAATAAATTTGGAGTATACTGAACATACCAGTGACCACTTACTAAGCACGTAGGAGATACTGAGTGCTGTGCACTTCATACACATTATGTGAGTTAGCACTCAGCAATTCCAGGGGGTGGGTACTATTGTCTTTTTTAAAACATAGTTTTTCCGAGATTAGCAAGCAGCAGAGGCAGGATTTGAACCCACATCTATCTGATCCCTAAGTCTTTTTTAATGTTTTTATTGATTTTTAGAGGGAGAGGAAGAGAGCGGGATAGAGAGAAACATTGATGAGAGAGAAACAGCATCAATCTGCTGCTTCCTGCATGCCCCCTATGCCCCCTACCTAGGGAGAGAGCCCGCCACCAAGGCATGTGCCCTGACCGGGAATGGAACCGAGACCTGGTTCATGGGTCGATGCTCAACCACTGAGCGACACCGGCTGGGCTGATTCCTAAGCCTTGAGCCCCACTCAATTCTGCCTGATGGAACTACTAGCCGTCACTCGGGACTCAGCTCAAGGGCAGGTTACTCTGGCAACCTTCCCTAATTCTCCCTGGGACTCCTTCTCTTTGCCACTTGTATATACTTCTATCGCCACACTTCTCACTCTCTTGACTTTTTTTTTTTTTAATCCTCTTCCGAGGATATGTTTATTGATTTTAGAAAGGGGAGAGGGGAGCGAGGGAGAGAAACATTGATGCCCAAGTTTCACTCTCAGGGTCTCATCAATGCATCTGCCCCAATTGGGAATTGAACCGGAAACCTTTTGGTGCACAAGACAATGCTCAACCAATTAAGCCACCCAGCCAGGGCACTCATACTGTTGACATTTTGTAGACCAGTCTGCTTCCCCATCAGTCAGAGAACTGAGGGCAGGGATGGTCCCATTCATTTTTGGCATCCCTGATGCCTAGCACATGTTAACTAATCGGCTGAAAATGCTGGTTATTCTGTAGTTCTGTTCCCTTCTCTGTAACTACTCAATTAGTGAACAAGTTCTGCTAAGGACAGTTTCCTGCACATTTCTTTATACTATTCCTTTCTCTCCATCTGCACTGCTAGATCTTAGCATTGAGCTCTTTGAGATTACAGAGGAAGGGTAATAATCAGTCCAGGAGGCTTCCACAGTGGTATTCCTCAAGCTTGAAAAATGAGCCAGAGATACTTGGTAAAGAAAGGTGGGAAGGGCACTGCAGGCAGATGAAAAAGCATAATTAAAGGCATAGAGGTGTGAAACAGTTTGGTCTGCCTGGAGGAAAAGGAGGGATTAAGCATGTGTTACTAATGATAAGTATGCCTGGCTGAGACTCGTGGAATGAGAGTAGAAAGACAGGGCTAGGTGGGAGCTTGAGCTTTGGTGTGTGTTTTTTTTCTGTACACAATAAAACAGATGTCTAGCCTGGCCTATGTGGCTCGGTGGTTGAGCATGGACCATGAACCAGGAGGTCATGGTTCCATTCCCAATCAGGGCACATGCCCGGATTGCGAGCTCGATCCCGAGTAGGGGGCATGCAGGAGGCAGCTAATCAATGATTCTCTCTCATCATTGATTTTTTTTCTCTCTCCCTCTCCCTTCCTCTCTGAAATCAATAATAATAATAATAAAAAAATAGATGTCTGTACAGGGAGCAGTGGGGACATGGGTGTGTGTGAATACTTGTACCTAAAGGGTCAGGTAAAACTTAGGTTTTATTATATTTGTATTATTTGTAAACTAACAATTTATTTCTCTGCTTGCTGTGTGGCTGGTATAGCACTTTACTTACATTTATCTTATCTAACCCTCACAATATCCGGTGATATAGGTGTTATTACCTTTGCCTAGGAGCGGGAAGGGAGGCTAAGACAGCTTTATACTGTTCCCAAGGTCACAGTTAGAAAGCTAGCCCAGATCCGAAGAGTCCTTAAGCCCTAGATTATAGTCTGCTAAAGGGAGCTTCTTGAGATCAGTGATCCTTTCTTTGCGTGTGCGCGCGCGCAGACCTAGGTCTTAGAAGACACCTAGTAATCATCACCAGCTGAATAAATGAGCGGATGACCTTTTCCTTTCTCCACCCGGGAAGGACGTGGTTACGTCCCTGGTAAACCTCCGAGCCCCTAGGGGGCGTGTGTCCATCTCAGCGCAGCCGGGCTCCCTGGCGGGCGCCTCGCTTGCTCCGCTCCTTTGACTGGAGCTCAGCCAATCCCTGCGCTCCGAGAGAGCTGGGGTTCGGTGGGCGGGGTCCCGGCGAGGCCCCGCGGGCCGCTGGGAGGGGCGGCGGCGGCGGTGCGGGC